TGGTCACCAAATTCTCAGGTATAACCAATAATTAAAATATCTCATGGGTTTGTCAGTGGTGTTGAAGCTGATTCCACAAAGCTGGATGTGGTCCAGTTCCACTGCTACGGAGATAAAATAATGTTCTATTGTAACAGGAATTACATTTCATTATTTTATGAGTAATATGCAAATACACATAGTATATACAATTATCAAATATCACATACCATTGTGCAATGGACACAACACTGCTCTCTTATCACATTCTGAAGAATTTGGTGACCACGCCCCCTTTTTAGAACAAAAGCTATTGAAGATTGATAATTAATCATAAAAATGTAACAAAGAGATAAATGCTGCAAACAAAGGTTGCAGTACTTAGATATGTTAATTATTGATTATAACTGAGATTTTGGTGACCACGCCCCTTTTAGAACAAAATTTATTGAAGATTGTGACACTTGTCATGTCAGGATGGCACTTATGAAGATGTTGGAGGAACAAAGTGCACACCCAGGGTGCAGGTTTATTTACATTGGACAGCATGTCATGCAACACTCTCTCTGTTCAGAGTTGGTGGCCTGCTTTTATAGCATATGACAGTAATTAAGCAATACTAACTGCAGCCCTACAGCAATAATTAAAGTAGTGCTTTTACACTCTTTTTATTATTATTATTTAAATTTACAAATGATTTATTTATTCTAAAACTATACTAAACTGGAAAGATAAAACCCAGGAAACCCCTCCACCCTCTCTGCAGAGTGGATGAACCCGGAATCCTCTTTAGGTGCTCCGGCTCCTCAGGACTTATTTGGCCGGAACGCCTAAAGAGGGCAGACAAGGGAGTAAAAGATAAGTATATTTAAATGTTGTACATTTATTCATTTTCCTTAACTCACACTCTTTTCCTTTACAGGTCCGCACCTTCACATACAAATCAATCTTTAATAAATGTTTTAAAACATTAGAGTCTGTCTAATTCATACTCCTGTTAACCCTCGTAAAGGACTCTTCTCCATTTATAAAAAGCCATTGTAGCCAAGCCAAGGTTGTAGTAGTTAGATATGGTAGTTATTGATTATATTTGAGAATTTGGTGACCACGCCCCTTTTTGAAAAAAAGTTATTCAAAATTCATATTCATATTTAATCATAAAAAATATAAAAAAGATATTTCTTCTGAAAACAAAAGTTGTAGTAGTTAGATATGGCAGTTATTGATGATACCTGAGAATTTGGTGACCACGCCCCTTTTTGAAAAAAAGTTATTCAAAATTCATATTCATATTTAATCATAAAAAATATAAAAAAGATATTTCTTCTGAAAACAAAAGTTGTAGTAGTTAGATATGGCAGTTATTGATCATACCTGAGAATTTGGTGACCACGCCCCTTTTTGAAAAAAAGTTATTCAAGATTTGTAGTCATATTTCATCATATTTAATCATAAAAATATAAAAAAGATATTTCTTCTGAAAACAAAAGTTGTAGTAGTTAGATATGGCAGTTATTGATGATACCTGAGAATTTGGTGACCACGCCCCTTTTTGAAAAAAGGTTATTCAAAAATCATATTCATATTTAATCATAAAAAATATAAAAAAGATATTTCTGCTGAAAACAAAAGTTGTAGTAGTTAGATATGGCAGTTATTGATCATACCTGAGAATTTGGTGACCACGCCCCATTTTGAAAAAAGGTTATTCAAAAATCATATTCATATTTAATCATAAAAAATATAAAAAAGATATTTCTTCTGAAAACAAAAGTTGTAGTAGTTAGATATGGCAGTTATTGATGATACCTGAGAATTTGGTGACCACGCCCCTTTTTGAAAAAAAGTTATTCAAGATTTGTAGTCATATTTCATCATATTTAATCATAAAAATATAAAAAAGATATTTCTGCTGAAAACAAAAGTTGTAGTAGTTAGATATGGCAGTTATTGATGATACCTGAGAATTTGGTGACCACGCCCCTTTTTGAAAAAAAGTTATTCAAAAATCATATTCATATTTAATCATAAAAAATATAAAAAAGATATTTCTTCTGAAAACAAAAGTTGTAGTAGTTAGATATGGCAGTTATTGATCATACCTGAGAATTTGGTGACCACGCCCCTTTTTGAAAAAAGGTTATTCAAAAATCATATTCATATTTAATCATAAAAAATATAAAAAAGATATTTCTTCTGAAAACAAAAGTTGTAGTAGTTAGATATGGCAGTTATTGATCATACCTGAGAATTTGGTGACCACGCCCCTTTTTGAAAAAAAGTTATTCAAGATTTGTTGTCATATTTCATCATATTTAATCATAAAAATATAAAAAAGATATTTCTGCTGAAAACAAAAGTTGTAGTAGTTAGATATGGCAGTTATTGATGATACCTGAGAATTTGGTGACCACGCCCCTTTTTGAAAAAAAGTTATTCAAAAATCATATTCATATTTAATCATAAAAAATATAAAAAAGATATTTCTTCTGAAAACAAAAGTTGTAGTAGTTAGATATGGCAGTTATTGATCATACCTGAGAATTTGGTGACCACGCCCCTTTTTGAAAAAAGGTTATTCAAAAATAATATTCATATTTAATCATAAAAAATATAAAAAAGATATTTCTGCTGAAAACAAAAGTTGTAGTAGTTAGATATGGCAGTTATTGATGATACCTGAGAATTTGGTGACCACGCCCCTTTTTGAAAAAAAGTTATTCAAAAATCATATTCATATTAATCATAAAAAATATAAAAAAGATATTTCTTCTGAAAACAAAAGTTGTAGTAGTTAGATATGGCAGTTATTGATGATACCTGAGAATTTGGTGACCACACCCCTTTTTGAAAAAAGGTTATTCAAAAATCATATTCATATTTAATCATAAAAAATATAAAAAAGATATTTCTGCTGAAAACAAAAGTTGTAGTAGTTAGATATGGCAGTTATTGATGATACCTGAGAATTTGGTGACCACGCCCCTTTTTGAAAAAAAGTTATTCAAGATTTGTAGTCATATTTCATCATATTTAATCATAAAAATATAAAAAAGATATTTCTTCTGAAAACAAAAGTTGTAGTAGTTAGATATGGCAGTTATTGATGATACCTGAGAATTTGGTGACCACGCCCCTTTTTGAAAAAAAGTTATTCAAAAATCATATTCATATTTAATCATAAAAAATATAAAAAAGATATTTCTGCTGAAAACAAAAGTTGTAGTAGTTAGATATGGCAGTTATTGATCATACCTGAGAATTTGGTGACCACGCCCCTTTTTGAAAAAAAGTTATTCAAGATTTGTTGTCATATTTCATCATATTTAATCATAAAAATATAAAAAAGATATTTCTGCTGAAAACAAAAGTTGTAGTAGTTAGATATGGCAGTTATTGATGATACCTGAGAATTTGGTGACCACGCCCCTTTTTGAAAAAAAGTTATTCAAAAATCATATTCATATTTAATCATAAAAAATATAAAAAAGATATTTCTTCTGAAAACAAAAGTTGTAGTAGTTAGATATGGCAGTTATTGATGATACCTGAGAATTTGGTGACCACGCCCCTTTATGAAAAAAAGTTATTCAAAAATCATATTCATATTAATCATAAAAAATATAAAAAAGATATTTCTTCTGAAAACAAAAGTTGTAGTAGTTAGATATGGCAGTTATTGATGATACCTGAGAATTTGGTGACCACGCCCCTCTTTGAAAAAAAGTTATTCAAAATTCATATTCATATTTTATCATAAAAAATATAAAAAAGATATTTCTGCTGAAAACAAAAGTTGTAGTAGTTAGATATGGCAGTTATTGATCATACCTGAGAATTTGGTGACCACGCCCCTCTTTGAAAAAAAGTTATTCAAAATTCATATTCATATTAAATCCTATTTATTCATAAAAAATACAAAAAAGAAACAAATGCTGAAAACAAAGGTTGTAGTAGTTAGATATGGTAGCTATTTATAGTATTTGAGAGTTTAGTGCGTGTACTTGGCTTAAAATAAAAACTATTGTTCGTTTACACAGCTGGTATTGGCATTTGTTGACGCTCCCTAAGTGCTTTTGCATTGGATTCAATGGATTTCTCTGCATTAAAACAGCGCATTGGATTAGAAAAATCGATTTTGTAGTAGTTAGCCCATGTAGAGGTGATCATTTTGGCACAATTACTTTCGTTTAACAACGTAGCTTTCGTAAGATATTCACCGCGGAAGTCCGAATCTGTGAATATCAAGCTAACTTTACCGAACTAACACGCAGGACTATTATCCCGACGGACCAACCAAAGCAAAGTGAAACCAGAGACCCAAGTATTATTGAATGCCACAATACTTTGAGATAATATTCTTAAACAGTGCACTCGCGCTTTACGGCATGTGCGTAAAAGATCCTTCATTCGCCCCACAGTGGAAATTTCAGTGCTGCATCACAAGTTACAGATAGTAGGAATGAGGAACACACAGATCAATATAAAGATAAAGATAAATGAATAATAACTCTATACTAAAATAAAATCTTTAACTCCAACATAAAAGGAGCAAGTATACCATCTCTAACTCTAGAAAAATATGAAAAGAAATCTAAAATCTCCAACTTTAGCATTATGAAAAAGCAGAATTTAAGTAAACCCCTGACTTCAGCATAATAAGAAGTAAGTATGAAATACTGTATATTCTAGTGCAAGTAATATGTGTTTCATTTATGCATTTCTTGATGTTCCATTTGTTTGATTGTCTAATAATCTGCTGATGGCAAATCAATAATTTCGGGAAGCGTCCCACGAGACGACTTTGTAATTTCAGGCTATTCAAAAAATAAATGTATTTAATGTTAGTAAGATCTGTAGTGAAATAAGGATAAACCCCATTACTGTCTACATCTACATTTCAGTTTATTACATTGTCCTTTTCTTCAATTAACAAGTTATAGCACATTCTGCACAATGGCACAACAGTGAAAACATGCGCAGGGCCATGAACATCCGGAACATCAGACAATTCAACTTACCTTTAAAGTTGGTGTACGCGCGTTTTTTGGTCCAGCGTGCCTCCATCTCGAGCCAAAGTCAAAAGCGAGTTAGCCTGTGCAGGTAGACTGCTTACTGCTATCTCTGCTCTGCTTTGGGGATCGAGGTACTGCCGCGGCTCGCAGTGATGCCCGTGAGTCCTGTGCGCCTTTTTATAGGCTGCGAAATGCGCCCACAACCGTGGGCAGCGGAGGACCCGAGGTGCGTCACAAGAAAAGGAGGAGAGACACGTCGGAAGAATGGACCAGAAAGGCAACTGTCATCATCACTATATTAATCTAATCACAATGCCTGTCACATTTTATCACACGATTCATCTTAATCAGTATGCCTCGTTTTCACACTAAAATAATATACAGAGATGTTTTCCAAGCGCTATGTGCAATCACATTACGCATCACAGGAAGAGGCCAAATGAGTCTACAGCGTGGGTTGAGAGAAGGACAGAATATAACACGTGTTTTTGAAAACATTTCTGCCCCTTGGATAGAGAAAAGTAGAGCACATGGTGCGAGTCAGGTTCGTGGAGAGCCAAGCATGCTCACATCGGTAATCCAATATAATCGTTTATTGTTCTATTGCTTCAAGTGACAGTGAAAAAACATGTTTTTTTTTAGTTTTAGCTTGATGAACAAGATAATTATGAGTTACACCCATAATTATGATAACTCTGTATTCAATTACATCAATTTTGCTATCACTAGGTCGATTCACTAACAGCAGATCAACTAATCAAACAGTTTGAACACAGACAATTGTCAATAATAACAAACACTATTCTATTGGCTCCCTATGGGCCCAAAAAAAATTCCAGTGGGAAAAAAGTATGGGCCGTGGACAACCAGTCCACAAGTGCAGATAAAAAGGCCAGATTCAAGTCCATCATCACATCGTGAAACAGACAGGGAGCAATGAACAGACTGAAGTCACAAAAGTATTATAATTCTGCCCTTTCCATTGGACATATTGTGCTGCTTTTATTATCAGAGGGCATCAAACCCTCCTTGAGTCAATGCCAGATATCTGCCACTTCATCTGTTAATATGAGGTGGAGGGTCATCTGCTGCCTCAAGCTGTGCAGAGGTCAACGCTGTTGTGGGTGTGGAGGCTGTTGCATGATTCTGATTTGACCAGGAAGAAAGACCAAGAAATACAAGAGTTTAATCCGAATAACATTTATTTCTCATTCCTATTTCTCACCCCCATTTCCCTAACAAACCTTATGTTTATTATCATGGACACAGCCCTAACACAGATTTAGTTCTAATATAAAAAAAGCCCACAAGGAGTAGAGATGCTCAATCGGCAGATTATCTGAAAATCTGAAACAAAGTCATAACCCTGTAGGCATGGCCATACCTGCATGTGAAAGCCAGATCCCGTCAGACCGCTAAAGCTTAGCAGGGTAGGGCCTGGTTTGAACTGTGATGGGAGACCTCCGGGAACACCAGGTGCCAGTGGTTCAGCTGTAGCTGTAAAGTGCCAAACTGTGATTGTGTCCTTAAGCAAGACACTTCACCCACATTTCCTAGAATGAGTCTGGTGTGTGTGTGAATGGTTGGTAGTGATCAGAGGGGTTGATGGGAGGGATGCGAGGGACATGCTGGCTGCCTCGCTTCTTTCTGTGTGCCCCAGGGCAGCTGTCGCTATATAAAACCAATGCATTATTATTATAATTGTTGTGTGTGCGTCTGGGTTTGTCACACATCCGATCAAACACACAAAATGGTCTTTCACAACTTATTGTGTTCGTTCTGGAACACGTAAGAACAAAACACACAAAACATACAAGAAAGTATCTACAGCATTCCACGTATTAATGTGAAACACATTTGGATTTTGATTCATATAGAATCATATTTCATTATTCGATAAACGTTGATACATGAAATAAGAGATACTGTAATAGAAGATATGCTGTATTTAATATTCACAACAGGGCGGGGGCGGTGTAAGGACCTTCCATGGATCTGATGGGACATCACGTTGGCAGGATTATTCACACTATCGCCTCAGAGAAACTGGAGGCACATCTCATGCTCTACTACACAGTTATTGATTGATGAGTAGAAATTAACGTGGGTTATTTAAACCACAGATTTCCACCAAATGATTATTATTTATCCAGATGTGTATGTGATAGCAATGATCCTGGAGTCAAAACCAAAAGTCCTGACATACCTGTCACCATAGAATTATCTGTGAAACGTGACAAATAAAAACAACTTTTCAGTAATAAGCCAATGACATGACACTCATAACCAACACAACAAAAATGACATGGCACCTTGTTAAGAAATAAAACGCTCAAACTACAAGCATACTGAAGTGTGTTAAAATAGACAGGCTGTTCCTGCTTGTGTCACAGAGTGACAGAACTGTCATGACTAAATGCAAAAGCTGTCCCCACACACAAACCAAACATGCACAGATTCGTCCGATTCAGGCTTTCAGGGAACACAAGGGTGAGAGTTGCGGGGGAGTGTCTCTGCTATATTCAAGTTCAAATCCTCATGCACATTCAATCGCAAAGTCTGGTGAGATCTATAGGCTTCTTTCTGTGAACATCCTCAACAGAGCTGTTTCACATTTGGCAGGCAATGGTGTTCTTGTAAAGCCTGCTAACTACCTCTGTAATACTGGGCCTATTATGAAACCACACATGTTCAACAGATTCCCTGTGTGGCAAGCAAGTAAATATTTTTTAGAATGTGGAGCTATCTTGAACTCAAAAGATGTGTAGATGAAGACGAAGGATTCATCAATGTATTCAGATTCCTTGTGAGGTGCTTGTCTAAGCATAGACACGTTCCTATCCATCACACTTCCTGCAGCTCATCCAAGGGAATCCTGAGGTGTTCCCAGACCAGCTGAGAGACATGAATCTTCCCCGGTGTCCCTTCCTGGTGGGACATGCCTGTCCCCTTTCAAGATAGACAATCAGGAGGCATCTAAAACAGATGTCAGAGGAAACTAATTTTTCTGGTCCTTTCGAAGCTCTTGACCATACAGTATGGGGGTGGGAATATAGACTGACTGGTAAAGCCCAATACTTTGGCTTCAATACCTACCAATATCTGATATGAATCGAGGCCAGTGAAGGGACAGAATATAGCATTTTACTCCCCACAAATCTGTTGTCTCAGCTTACTATGAGAAATCAGTCCAATTGTGTTTTTAACCAGTAGTCAATCCTCTATGTAACGACAGAGCTGTTTGAGTGGGCTCATATCAACTAGTAAGCAAACTGATGACATCAAAAGAAAGGGCTAGTCCAGATCCATCCATCCATCCATTTTTTTCCCCTTAATTCATTTGTGGGTCAGGTGGGGGGTCAGAGCTGCACCCAGTCCACAGAGCACCAGCAAGTTACCTAAGATATCTCAAAATGCAATAACATCCAAGAACAACTGATGCCAGGATCGTATCGGTGTGTTCCAAGCCAATACAGCAGTCGCACTGCACACGCTGCAGTGATCGGTCAATCTCCTGCTCCATCTTCCCCTCACTCATGATGAGGCCAACCAAGAGGACGGAAAGTAGCTATAATCACTTAAAGAACCTTTAAGTGCAACCGTAAACATAAAGATCCTTTATTAGTCCCTTAGTCGGGATATTTCACTGTTGCCTCACAAGTTACAGAACAGTAACAGTAACTTGTATAATAATGCAGAAGTGTATATTGCTTTATGATAACAGTCTCTACTGACCTCTTGTGTCAGAAAAGTGTACAGCCCGCAATTATGAGAAGTCGAGCATTTATTCTCAGCCACAAAATGGGTAAATAAAGTTTGTTTTATGTCTATGGAATGCAGCCTTTGCCTTTTGATTTGTAGGAATTGAACAAAAAATACATATAAATGTTTTAAACACTAATGAAGATGCATATGAATGATGTATTATAAAACACAAATGGTTACATTTAAAAATAAATATACAAACCTATTTTTCTAGATTTTGCCCTCCAAGTTTACGTCGTACAATAATGAGAACATTATGGTCTTCATGAGTGAAAAGGCGACTTTGTAAATAATCCCATTGAGTGGGAAGGTCACACACAGGCCACTCTGTATAAATTGGGACTTAAAATGTTTGAAGAAGTAAACAGTAGAATATTTGTGGTTGGTTTTGCGATTCAGGCAACAGACTCAACATCACGCTCAGCATAAGGTAAGGGATTTAAAGCATTACACGCATTGAGTTGTATGAGGTGCATCTTAACTTTTATAAATTCAAACATTCATACATTTTAAACTGAAGTGTTTCTCTGTGTGAAACCTGCCTAACTTTTCAGTTCACTGTTGGTACAAGTAACAAATGAGGACCAACCCATATGAAAATGACCCTAACCCTAATGTTGCAGTGGTCGTGTATACATCACAGCTTGAGAACCACTGGTGTAAAAATATCAAACATGGCTACAGTCAATTGATTATTTTATCAAAAATACAGATGGACAAACAATTATTTGTATAGGACCAGTGACTAAAGGGGCATCTTCCTGTTTGTAATCTGCAGTAAGTTAACATGGTGAGTCCTTGATGAAACTTGGTGCAGTGTAGAGTGAGGTGGATGCCAGGAGGGATTAGGTGGTCTGAACCCCCCCCCCCCCCCCCCCCCCCCCCCGTGGCACATGAGAAGGTGAATGCTATCTGTGGAGGAGAGCACCATGAAGGCTGCTTTGTCCTGGTGTTTCACAGAGGCCTTGTCATGCTCAGATAGAGCACATACATGATAAACATGGTGTTTAGCATGTGTAACATGGTGTTTATCGTAAAAGACAGAAAGATAAATATGAGATATCACCAAATCAATACACTGTTTTTTGTTTACTTGACCTAGTACAAATATATCTGTAATTACCTGGCTTCATTAGTGTGAAGCAAAAACTAGTTTAAATGTTATCATTAATCAGTTTATTATAGTTTTATCTTTAAAAATAGAAGGCTAACAGAATGTAAATCAGTTGGCTGAACTTGGCTGTTTTGAGCTGTAAAATGAGCTATGACATGTACAAATAGATATACTTAAACATTTGGCAAATGTTTACTTTCTCACCAGTTACAATAGCCCTATATCCAGAGTGGTGTGCCACGAACAATAACAAATGTTGGTCGTCAAATATACAACTGGATTCAAGAGGTTCTTAGCCTTACAATGAGGCATAGCATACTGACAGAGCAAAGTTGGCTGGATGACACTGAACTTCTGTACATGGTCATAGTGACTTAGCAAGGAAGAGGGTCACATAAAATTATACAAGGGCCACAATTGGACTCTGGGTCGGACTTTGGAACGGCCTGATTTAAGGCGTCTATGAAGTCAAAAATAATGATAAAATTCAGCATTTGTCTCTTGTACAGTATAAATAATATGGGAAAGTGCTATTAACTAAATTACAAATTAAGTCAGTATAGCTGTTTAGCATACTCCCAACACTTTGGCTGAAAAAGGGCATCATAATCTATGGTTTCTGTCGCTTTGTTCTAACTCCACAAAAGAAAGTGTGAAGCATAATAACGAATAACCAATTATAGTGTGCGTAACACAAGGCCGAGTAAAGTACAGTCTTGGGGCAGGGCGTTGTTGTGTTAAAGGCGTTAAAGGAAAATGTCCGGCATCAGCAGTCAGATAACACAGAGCTGATAAAGATGAGTTTATGTAAATGTATTATGACAATTTATCACTTTACTGTCTGACAGGAACACTTTGGCAGCAGGTGAGTCTAGATCTGTTAATGAAATCAAATCCCATATTTGTTTTAAGTGCTTGGACAAATGCCATTCAGGAGCAGTAATGGATATCTTGTTGTATTTAATGACAAAACAGCATGACATTTTTGAACAATAATGGAGAAATGTGTGTCTACTTTTTGTTGAATGTATTTTCTACAAATGTATGGCAAACATAGAAAACCGCACACTGTCTCCTTTGACATCATTGCCCCACCCACATCTTTAAAACACTTACCTGTTCTTTCTAGTGTTTGCTCAGTGTTTGGACCACAGCAGGTGAAGCAACAGCAGCAGAATGGGTTGCGGTCATCTGGTCAAGTCCTTTCTCTTCAGCATTTCCAGAAGGAAGCCTATGGAACCTGATGGAGAGCAGTCAACATTTAACAGATGTCTGACCACTTTGGACCTTGTGGCTCTGGGAGTGGGCAGCACATTGGGAGCAGGGGTCTACGTGTTGTCAGGCGAAGTGGCCCGGGACACTGCTGGACCCAGTATAATCATATGTTTCTTAATTGCTGCCCTGGCGTCTATATTCGCTGGACTTTGCTATGCGGAGTTCGGGTCCAGGGTGCCCCTCACTGGATCAGCCTACCTGTACAGCTATGTGACCGTGGGAGAGCTGTTGGCGTTCATTACGGGGTGGAATCTGCTGCTCTCGTATGTCATAGGCAAGTACTGTGAAACACTTCCCAAACTCATAAGAATATGCTCAAACCACCAGGTCAATGTATAAACTGATCATTTACAGTTCAAAGCTACCTGTAAAGTTGCAGTTTTATCTTCGGAAGATACAACTGCTTTTAAGAGAACAACTTGTCCTGTTGAGTTACTAATTTGGCTGACTAAGACTACTAATAATCGACTGAAAGATCTTGAACTTTTACCTGCTGTGGGAGCACTTTTTAATGGACTTAGGGGAGAGAATGTTCTTCATATCACCTGCGGTATTACCTGTAACAAACGGCTGATAAGGACTTGAATCCACTAAACAAGTCCCAAATATGAAAATATGTATGTAAAAAGAAGAATATGTATATGTATTATTAGGATAATATATATTTATTATATTCAGCAAGGCAGTAAATAGTTAAGTGTACTGTAGTTGCCAATCCTTCAAATACAACCGATCAATAAATCTCTAAACATTGAAATTTAATATATGTCTACAACCTGCACAAATATTTCATGATAACTTATATGTTTTAGGTTCATTGTTTTTATTTAGACTTCATCAAAGACACATTAGGCAGGAACATGACTCACGGCTGATAAAATAATAAAATCGATGATAAACTACTATTCAAACCCACATATTTGATATCTGACATCTGTTATTAGTGTTGATTGGGTAACAGCTGTATGTTCATGTTTAACTGATGATGTGTTCAGGGACATCCAGTGTGGCGTTGGCATGGAGCGGCACGTTTGATGACCTCATCGGGGGCCACATATCCAAGTTCTTTGAAGAAAACGCAGCCATGAACCTTCCCGGTTTGGCCTCTTATCCTGATATCTTTGCTGCTGTTCTTATTATATTGCTCTCAGGTATCACAACAAGAGCTATTTATGACACGCTCCGAGCCCAGTCAACCATAAACTCTTGTATTTGCTCTCGGTAGGACTTCTGGCTTTTGGGGTCAAAGAGTCAACGACCATCAATAAGATTTTCACAGCGATCAACATCCTGGTGCTGCTGTTTGTCACCATATCTGGGTTTATCAAAGGAGATGTGTCAAACTGGAGCATCAGCAAAGAAACACTGCTCAACTACACAACGCAAAAGTAACTCAACCAAACACTTGACACTGTGTGAGATGAGGGAGTGACACTACTGAGAACATGTATGGTTTATTTCAAACTCATGCACAGATGATGAAAAGAGACAGGGTACAAGAATATAAACTGCAACACAGCAGATGCAAATTCAGTTCCAACCACTCTAACTCATTCAACACAATACAAAGCACACCCACACACACACACACACACACACACACACTCTCTGACCATTCATCTTGTTCCAAAGAGTGACCATGGGTGTGCCGAATTTCTTATTAATTTTTTAAACTAGATAAATAAATAAGCTTAGTCTGTAATTATGGAGAGCTCTTTGCTCAAATATGTTTTGTACATAGGACAACTTCTTATTTCTAGAACTGGATCATCAGCAAAAGACTTGCAAAAGCCTATTTTAATTAAATGTGTTTGTACTGTTTGTTCCCTTCAGCAACCTGACCTCCACCATATTCGGGACTGGAGGGTTTTTCCCATATGGCTTCACTGGGACGCTGGCCGGAGCAGCAACATGTTTCTATGCCTTTGTTGGTTTTGATTGTATTGCTACAACAGGTACAATGTCGTATTCTTTATCAATACATGCCATCGCGCCATGCTGGTACACTAGTGTGAAGTGTTTCAAATGTGCAGAGAGTTTGTGGTGAAAAACTGCAACGCTCAAGGTCAAAAGGAGGGCCAGCATCAACTGGAAATATGTATAGAACAAACAATAATACTGATGAGTGACACCTTCACATAACAGGATTGTGGATAAAAGGTGTTCTTATGGCACTTACTAATGATCATTCATTTACTGTGATGAACATTTAACAGCAAGATGATGAAGACTGTGCCAATGAAATACACCCAGTGTAATTAAATGTGTGGTTTGTTGTCTTTCAGGCGAGGAAGTGAAAAACCCCCAGAAGTCTGTCCCTGTGGGCATTGTTGCTTCTCTCCTCATCTGTTTCTTGGCTTACTTTGCTGTGTCCGCGGCTCTCACCCTGATGATGCCATACTACATGCTCGACCGCAAGAGTCCACTGCCTGTGGCCTTTGAGTACATTGGTTGGGGTCCGGCCAGATATGTTGTAGCAGTAGGATCTCTGTGCGCTCTCTCCACAAGGTTGGTAACAGTGTTTCTTTGAAGATCAGAAATAATAATAATAATAATGTTTCACGCATTTTCCTTTTAGTCTTTTAGGCTCTATGTTTCCGATGCCTCGGGTGCTGTTTGCTATGGCCAGAGATGGCCTGCTTTTCCACCCACTCACCAAAGTCACTGCCAAAGGAAGTCCTGCTATTGCAACTATATCATCTGGAATAGTTGCAGGTATTTTCAGTGTCATCTGAATAACACTATTATTCCCTCATTTAAACATTTTTTTCTTTTTATTAGCTATCATGGCGCTTCTATTTGACCTAAATGCTCTTGTAGAGATGATGTCCATTGGTACACTCTTTGCTTACACACTGGTTGCTATTTGCATCCTAATACTAAGGTAATATTTGATGGTTTTTTTTATTACAAGATGTAATTGAATAATTAATTAGCTTTATTTGCTTAAAGATATCAAGAATCACAAAACAAGGAGTCCAATCCCGACCCCATGTATTCATTCCTTAAACCTCCATCAAAACCTAATTCCAAAAGCTCTAAAGCAGTAACAATCATGACTGTGAGTGCAGGTAAGAATCTCCCTTTTTTCTTTTGCTCAATAGAATTTCTCTTGAGAAAAAACAGTAACTTTGGTTTCCATTTCCGTCTCCCTAGTTGCTTGTATAACAGCAGTCTGTATATTACTGACTCAGGCTCTTGATGAAATAGCTGCGGCAGAGCCCTGGAGCTTGGCATTGGTCAGCATATTTAGCGTTCTGATACTGCTAATTATATTTTTCATTTGGAGACATCCACAAAATCCAACCAAAGCAACATTTATGGTAAAGACAACGTTTCCAAACGTAATTTCCTGAAAATGCTTTACGACCTTGTGTTTTGTCCGACAGGTGCCCCTTCTTCCCGCTCTTCCTTTAGTGAGCACTTTCATCAATGTTTACCTGATGGTGCAATTAGGCACAGATACATGGTTACGATATGGAATATGGATGCTCGTAGGTAAGATCTCTCACAGCAATGACCCAGTGTCTGCCATAAAATCCTCATCAAATATTGGATGAAGTTAGACTAAGAGCTTTTACCGTGTGCTGATTTCCGGTCCTCTCACTTCAGGGTTACTCATCTACTTTCTCTACGGGATGTGGTTCAGTCTGCAGAGGAGAGGCCGCACGCCTGCACACATACCAATAGAGACTGTTAGTGAAATATCAGCGCGCAAAATAATAAATGAGGAGAGATTTTGAATCTTTTATGTTAGTAAATGTGCGTTTATTACAACTAGATTCTTGTCTGTTCATGTTCACCCCTGCTTGTCCTCGGATAGCCAAACAAGAACATGACTCACGGGTCATTTCCAGTACATTTGTTTTTATTACACAGTGATGTGCCAGATTATGGATCTAAAGTCCTATATATGTTTTATGTACAAAAGTATTTATGTGCTAAAATAATGTCCTAAAAGTCACTATAATCTCTTGATGATTGCCACAAAGTGCACAATAACATATCATCTGTATATTTACAAATATTTACAAAGAATGTGTACATAGTTGTTTCTACAAATCATTGTTGTAATTGTAAATGTGAATAAACCTGTTTGCTTATATCAATGTATTAAAAGAATAATGCACTTTTTAGATGATTGGTTGCTTTTTTCCTAAAATTGTGCTGATACAGAGCCTGTAGCTCTGGGGGATGGAGAGAAAGAATAAGCTTTCATAACATAGAAATAAAAAAACAGTGGCCTCTCATGTTGATATAGTGACATTGCACAAATGTATAAACAGTTATAAATGTGTTGTGATCCTTTATACGGATATTTGTTTACTTTTCTGATGTTTTATTGACTTTTCCCACCTATTTGGCATATCAACTGGGAGACAGTGATGAACTGGGACATCTATGGACAGTGAAGATTTGTGGACATTTGTCGACCCGCTCCCCAAGGACCAACAGCTCCTGTGTTTGTTATTATTGTATTTCCTGTGTTTGAGCTGTTTGATTCTCTGATCTCTTGTTGATTAAATGAAACCTTTATAAACTCCTCAGAGACGACAACTGTAGTGATTTGGAGAGACACAAATTCATGTAATTGAATTTTTACTTCTTAACTATTTAATACGCCATTATTTATCTATCTTTATCTAATCAGATTCGTCTTTTTAAGCTTGCCTCGTATTGTCATCTGAAGCTGCTGAGTATACAGTAGTTCACCAAAATGATTCTACGGCTGTCTTTCTCAGGGTCTTCTTCCTCTGGGGTTGTTGAGGCTTCAGCTCTTCCAGTCCAGCAGCTAAACAAACAGGCTGGGTCTACATGGAGGGGCAAACTGACTCTCTGGACCCTCATTGGTCAAGACAAGCTTGAAAGGCTCTATTGAAACAGTCTGGAGGAATTTGGGCTCCTAATGCCCCTCATAGAAAGGGGAATGTGTGTAATTTTTGGTCCACAGCTGACCCTCACTTTGCCTGCACTGCCCTCCTGGTGCTTTGTTCCCCTCTGCTTTTACAGGACTATCTGAGCTGAGTATAGAGCCCCATTATCACAAAGAACAGCCATGAAAGTAAAGGATTTCAAGGCAAGATGCAGGCTGGCTTTGGACGCACTTCTCATTTGTGCCGTGATATTCGAAATGGGTAAGCAACATTTCTATGCACAGCTTTCAACTCAATTCAATTCAATGTATTCTTGTATAGCCCTAAATCACAACAGTAGTTATCTCTGAGGACTGAACAAAACAGTTGAATTTGCCAACACAGATAGATAGATAGATAGATAGATACTTTGTTGATCCCCGTAGGAGAAATCTAGGTGTGCAATAGCAGCAAAAATGAAATAAAATGGATCATTCTAAAAAGATAACAATAGCAACAATTATTCAGCAACAGCCCTTCAGTCACAGCAGCAGAGGTGGAGTAGCCGCTTGGTGGAGTAGGATGGGTCAGATGGGTTCAAACACAAGAAATGCAATGATAAAACTACAAAGAGCCATTGGTCCATAAGGGGCAGATGAACAATGTCCATAAATGATGATAATTGTCCATAAATGATGATAATTGTCCATAAATGTTGTTGAATGTTGAGTCGAGTGTCCTGGATCATCCCCACTGTCCATTTTATGGTGAAATCTGTGATATTTTCTCCATACCATGTTCACTCATAAACCAATGCTTAATTTAAGTGGACATGACTTTTTTAAAAGTGTTCCTAATACGATATTCACTGTATTATTGATTTAGCACATTGCCAAGAAGCACAGAAGATTCAACCTGGAAAAAAAGCTAAGATCAAAAACGTCAAATCGACAAAACCTAAGGCCGCTGCTGCACGTGTCGCGTCGGCCCAGTCCCTCCTCACTCAGGTGACACATTCCTGAAGCCATTACTATCTATTTGATTTATAAATAGATTTTTTGTTTGAGCTTGTACTTGTTTATTTCAAACAGGTGGTGAGAAAAGGGAGGTTTCAAAGGGTCGGGGAGACGATCACTGTGCGGACAGGGGACACTCTGGAGCTGAGGTGCAGAGGGAAACCTGTGCAGTGGACCGTCCCATCTTACCTGGAGGAGGACCACGAGGGGAGACTCAAGTGGGTTGTGGTGTATAATTTTATATGTCTTATGTATTTTGAAGGCAGAGTTTGTGCAAATGTAAATCAATGCAAAAAAAAATGCACACTAGGATTGCATGATTATTAAGATTGCAGTTTTAGTGTTGTTATTTTGCAAATCCCAAAGACTTCAATTATGTGTTACACCACTAAAAACTGCAAATGCTTGACTTATATCAAATTGAGGCATCCCTTGAGTATTGTATATATCTGACGTGGAGATGAAAAGTATTGGCCTGTAACTAAGCGCAGTAGTTTTACTTTTACATCAAACTAAATTATTCCATTACCAAATCTGCTTTAAGATTGTGGGCATTTATTCAAATATAAGTCAAAATTCAAGCACTTGTTTATTTTTTCTTGCAGTTAATTCATTCCTTCGTATACAAACTATTTATAGAAAGGTGTTTGACACATGCAGTAACAAAACGCGACTATTAAAATTTATAATTCAATTGCAATCACCATCTTTTTCAGATATATTACAATTACAAATATGGCAAAAGTTAAAGAGCCTGGAAGTTCATGGAGCAGGAAATATTTCTAAACTAGAAAATCACTCTGAGAGGCACAGTTTCATTTCTAAATAAGAAACCTGCATCACAACGGTAATTCTGGCCGCTACCAAAATGTAATCAGATAAATCAGAAATAGGGTGTTTGCGGAACTAAATCAAAGAGCTCAAACAGACAGAGATAGACTATCAACAATGATCGCTTTCCTCCTAATAAGTAATACAAACTGACAAGATGAAGAGTTTTGAAGCGTGTCTGTATTCTCTTCGTACAGAACTGTTGAGCATGAGAAGTATGGAGTCCTGACCCTCGTCAACACCACAGGCGCAGACACAGGAGAGTTCACCTGTTTTCCACTGTTTTGTGAAGACACGGACTGCAGAAGAGAGTACAGCAAAGCAGCCAAAGTCTTTGTCTTCTTCCCAGGTACAGTTATGAATGCAAACTCAAAAGCTTTTCCCCTCTCATTTGTGGCTGTGTGAAGCCATATATAGTCAAATAAACATGTTTATTTCTAGATTTAAAAAACACAATAAACTGTTTCACACAGCCACTATCAATAACAGGTGAAAAAGAGTGTTTGCGGTACAAAGTAGAATTAGATTTTGTATTAACCAATTAAAAGTGGAAATACTTATGGTTTGTTTCTTAGACGTCCAATGTTATACTTTTCTATTGTTTAAACATCACTAAGAGCTATTTGGTCTTCATACACATGACCAAAGCAGGTTTTTCATGGATTCCTTCAAGCTTCAGTTAGAAACTGTAAAGTGCCAAACTGCCGTTGTGTCCTTAGGCAAGACACTTCACCCACATTTCTAAGAATGAGACTGGTGTGTGTGTGAATGGTTGGTAGTGGTCAGAGAGGCCAACATACTGGTTGCCTCGCTTCTGTCAGTGTGCCCCAGGGCAGCTGTGGCTACAGTAGTAGTTTATTATCACCGTGTATGGAGTGAAAGAATAATTACATGTAAAGCGTCTTTGAGTGTCCAAAAAAGTGCTATATAAAACCAATGCATTATTATTATTATACTTCAGAGAGAACAAAACGCCTCAGTTCAATTTGATGAGCAGAAGAAACGCAGTTGGATAAAAGTAGGTGACCTGACAACAGTGATCACTCACCTTCAAAATAACCACAAAGGAGAGATACATTTGAAGTTTTAAGGTGAAATACAGACAGAAAAGATAACTGTGAATGTCCTGTAAAATCAAAGCCACAACTCGCGCTGAACCCTTTGTATAAAGTCTCGGTCTCGCAGATCAAAGACTTGTGTTGTAGGCTCCAAATGGGTCTCGCTCTTATGCTCTTGGCTTAAATAGTCCTGTAACAGTTGCATGGCGCCCCCTTGTGGTCCAGGAGGTTCTTAGTTGGTACCAACAGCGTCGTCAGGCCAACAAACAGGGGCTTCAGCTCAGTGAACATGTATCTGACACAATAGAGACTCGTAATTAAAGCTGTACATTCATCCATTGAAATGAGCGCCGCCTCCCCCACAACAACCTGTGTTGTCCAAAGGAAATTACATAAACTACAAAATACAGTTTATAGTTTAATCACAGGGGCTCAACAGGCTTTTCTATTTAACCGATTTACAGCATGTGTCCATAGAGCTGTTTGTAAAGGAGAGAGAAACATGTTCCAGCCACATCATCTTTCAGCTGGAAACGTGAAAAACAAGAATAGCCGGTGGTTTGCTTACTGAAACTATAAGTAGTTATAGAAGTTGACATGTACATGCGCGCCATAGAATGTGAAATTAATACAATCATAGGTTGGTCTACTCTGAGAGCTCCAGGAGAAAATGAATCCTGGAAGTGAGGCCCTACTCTGTTCTGGCTGGGTTTAGTCCTGGTGTAATCACATTCCTCATATTGACCACCCCCAAACTTCGCTCTTCTCAACAGTGCCCGGTCTATCTATCTATTGATAGATATCTTATCTATATCTTATCTATAGATAAGATATATCTGCTGTATGTCTTCTACAAGAAAAATAACATTAATCTAAAACTGATCTGCGGATATATACTAAGAGTTCAGCACAAAATGTGGCTGTGATTTGAGAGAGTGCATTGAAGAAAGCATACAATGAACCAGCCCGGGCAGTGGATTGATTTGTTTTAATGGGGCGACAGTGGCTCAGTTGGTAGAGTGTTGGCCTTTAAGCCTCAAGGTCGTGGGTATCGAGCCCACCATGCGACCTTCTTCTCTGCTGTTGTTGTGTCCTTGGGCAAGACACTTAAACCCACTTTGCCTGAAGCCCCTGCTGAAATTTCAAGGCTATACTGTCACTAACAGAGCAGCCATCCTCCTGTGGACTCACCACCTGCAGGAGGATCAGTGAGGGGCTGGTACTCTGTGAATTAGGTGCAGCTCCCCTGCCCCCCCCCGACCCAGAAATGGACAAAGATGCTAAAGATGGATGTATGTTTGTATTAACAATAGGTCTATTAGGAGGTACGATGATACAGCAATCCTTCCGATCTGTATTTCACCTTAATTCTCCAAATGTATCCCTCCTTTGCAACAGATTTCTCTCAGAAAAAATATAATACACAGCCTGTCTTTCTCAGATCCCCAGGAGCTGTTTGTTCCCTCCTCTGATTATTATGAAGTGGTTCAGCTCAGGACCAACTGGCCCACAGTGCTGCCCTGTCAGGTGACGTCACCTGAGGCCAAGGTAACACTGCACCGAGAGTACCCCCCATCAGAAGTGCCAGTGGACGGGTCAGAGATCTCATTCGACGTCAAAAAAGGGTTCACAATTCACCGCCCCAGGCCTCATCACGCTGGAGAAGTTTATTGTGTGGCCAGTCTGGGAAACTTGAGGCAAAGCTCCATCAAATACATGCTCATCTACGTCAACTGTGAGTCAGACATTATCAGAGTTTACTGATCATTTATTGTGTGTTTATGCAAAGACTTGACCAGAGCTGATGTTGCAATATACTCATATAGCTGGGGTATGTAACTTCCAAACCACAAAAGATTTAACTATGTCAAAATAATCTAGTTACACTAAAATAACTGCCAAAGTGAAGTTCAACATTTTATCATAAGAATAACATATATAACAGAAAAATATAATAACATTTAAGAATCCTGACGGCCACAGAAAAAACCTTGATCTCAATTACACACAACGTATATGCATATTCCTCTTTACATCACTTAAACCACATTAAGTTGTGGATCTGCATATAGGTACATTGTTTTTAAAGTACTTCATTACATTATATCATTTCCATTCTCTGCATTTAAACACAGGTCCAAAACATTACCCATATTCATAGATTTTTTTCTCATATTCTTCTTCTTATTATTGATGTCACAGTTTAACAAGTTTAACTCACTAAATATTGAATCATTTATTGCATTTCAGATATATACTGTAATTTTGTTTCTAGATTTTGTGTCTCATTGTACATATATATGTTCTGTTGCCATCAGACCCAAGGGCCGTGCCTGCTCCTGTGATCCAGGCCTCATCCAGCTCCTTGACTGCGGGGGACAATCTGAGAGTTACCTGCTCCGTAATGGGAGAACAGGACGTGGCCATTGACATCACATGGGATTACCCAGGGCAGCAGGTCAGCGTCACAAACACCATTCTGCAATTTTGTTACTGCACACATGATTCTTCAGGTCTGCCACACAGTTATAGTATTTTTATTTGAGAAACTATTCAAGAAAATTCATTTTTGCAATTTAGTATAATTCTGTCACCTACTTCATGCATTTAAAATATAATTCTATTATCATGTCACCTATACTTAAAAAAGTATACTTAAAAAAGTATAGGTGACAAATGAAACATGTTCACAATATATTTGTTTTTAACATTGTAAGTGTATTACACCATTCCTTCATACAGTGTCCTCTTTATTTTGTCCCCATCCTTTTCGCACTTCAGTCAAACAACATAAAATCATGATGTTTCCTGACTCTGTAGTTACCACATACATTTTTACTCAGAATGACTCACATTCTTGTCGTTCAGATTATCCAAAGATTAACGCTGGGATATTTTATCCACAAGCATATTTGATTCTCCCAACATATTTAATAAAAAAATTAACACACATCATCCTTATCTTATTATAAATAATATTATAATTTTGCAAACGTGCAGGGAAGAGTCAGTCTTTGATGCTTTGGACTAAGAACTGATTATCTGACTGAGGGCTTCTCTTTCACTTATGAAAAAGCTGATGTGTTACTGGCCAAAAATACAAGAATGTTTAAACTAGTGAACCAAAACCAAACTGTTTGAGAGCTAAAGACTATCTTTGATGCGTTTAATGACATAGATACAGTTTTGTGGTTTGTGAGATATAGGCTACCAGCTTTGGCACTGAAGTTTGGTTCCGTATCCACCTCAGAGAAAACAAAATGATGTGATTTCTCTTTCTTCAGATTGGGAGGCCTCAATACACGCAGGACAGCGTGACTCCTGCAGGGGCAAACACGCAGCAGTCCCAGTCCGTTCTCCTGGTGGATGAAGTGAGAGACGTGGACCAGGGCACTTACACCTGCACCGCGCACAACCTGCAAGGGTCCAAATCTGCGTCAACCACTGTCAAAGTCACACCCAAAGCTTCTCCCAAACCCAAGGCAAAGAAACCGTAGCATCCTTTCATGTTTTTGACATAGTGATACAAAAACAATCTTTGAAGTGCCATCAACGCCAAAATTGACCTTGTCCTGTCTCCTTACACTGCCCTCTTGTGGAAAAATAAAGTGGTACAACCGGTGAGAGCAATCCACCAAACTGTAAAATGAATAATAGGAAGTATATATTATAGCGTTACTAGGATTTTAGTATTATAATGCTCTCTGTTGTGTGGTTGTTTGTCTGTTTTTAATGTTGTACATAGATTTTAACATTGACTTTTTAAAGTTTGTTTTAAAACCTTTACAACAAAACAAAATAGGAGTATAGCAGACAGCTTTGAAAAGGGGATTGAATAAAGAGTGATCTATAAGATAAAAAACATTATTAATCATGTTTTTGGTTCATTGACTTATTATTTTAGTTCTAAGCATTATTATAGGTCAAACAATGATAATAATAATAGCAGTAGTAATAATATTATTGTTGTATAATTTAATTATTATTATCATTTAAAGTGCATTGAAAGGTGTGTAAGAAAAAAGGAAGGAGAAGACAGCTCTCACCCTTTTTTATTTTATTTCATTTATTCATATATAAAGCAGGGGTATCCGTTAACAGTTTTTTACTATTGCTTGAACACATTTAGAAAATTTTGCTCAGTGTCCCAAAACTCTATACACAAGAGAACCTGAAACACACACTGGGACATAAACCATTCACATATGGGTCAAAATGAAACTCCTCAATAAAAACTCAAACTCTACTATCAAAACTAAACAATTATTTGTCAAAATGGAACTCTGAGGACAAAGTTATACACACTTGCATCATATGAACACACTTTCAGATTGGGTGTGTGTCAAAACTAATAATAAGAGTGAAAGAGGTTTGTACATTTCATAAATTCATGATTATGTGGCTAATGATTCAACACAAAACTCAGAAGCTCTGATCTAATTGGTTGCGTTACTTATAACTATTAGTTGAAGGAAAAAAATCCTAAACTGCCTCTCATTCTATTTACAGCTGAGATTAGTATAAAAGGCAATGATTACACAAACCTACGCCAATCTTTGCATTTATTATTTATAATGTACCACAGTAAAAGATGACGCGATTGCAAAAAAATATTCTGTAGTGTCCATGTTCCTCCACAAGATGTCGCTCTTTCCTCACATCTTGCTCCGTTGCGCGCACACGTCTCTCTCTCTCTCTCCCGCAGTTCAAACAAGCAGGAGGGAAAAAGGACCAGCTTCAGGCTTCACTTCATGCACTGCTCCTCCTTCGTCAGATTGTTTGTCCTCTCGTCCGCTCTGCAACTTTGACGAACAAATCTTGTGTGAAAATATCTTGCATAGCCACGTGTGTGTAACCTCCTCGGATACATCATACACTGAGAAGTAGAGTTGTCCCAAAGGCAATGCCCTGCGCCCGCAACATGGTAAGCACCAGCACGCATGCTTTTAACTTGAATGTCCCTGTTTAGCACTTGTGGCACAGCTATTACACATTCATAGTTTTTATTTCAATAATGTGTCCAGGGAAAGGATACATTTATAGGCTATATTTTAATGCACTTTAAATATTGGGTGCATTTTACTCAGTTTAATCCAATTGTACTTTTGTTCTTGTCCTGGTTTTGTTCATATATTTTCGAGTTTAGACCATGTTGCAATGGTTGATTGTGCACGTGTGAATGTCTCAGTATCTTTGTGTATTTAAGTTTAAGATAAAGAGATCCCTTATTCGTCCTAAGGAAAAATTTCAGTGTTGCATCACAAGTTAGAGAACGGTAGGAATGAAGAGCACACAACACAAGAAAAGTGAATATTTGCAGGTGTTTGAATGGCCTAACCCTGTATGGAAAAAGCTGAACTCTCCATTTTATCATCCTCCATCCTCAGCAGTAAGAACCATATACTTTCTATACATTTAATTGCATGGTGAACTTTTTGCTTGTGTTTGAGCTGGTGATTTTTGATGCACATTGGTCCTGGGACAAAAGCTGTGTAACTAAAGACAGAGCCCAAGTGTGTGGGACTCCAAGTGGGTGGAGGGGGGAACCGTGCACCAACTCAAGTTTGGGGGGGGGGGACTGCCAGGCTGTTGTCGTGGAGACCAGAGGCCGCACAGGAGACCTCTGACCTGGGGACTCTGGGGTCCTTTGAGTGCAGTGGTTATGGGGTAATAGTGACGCAAGTGTTAGGACAAGTTTGACAATAGACAGACCACAAGACAACCATTCCTATAGCCTTAAGATGGGGTAAATACCAAACAAAATCATCGTTTTGGAGTAGCTCACATGGTTACTATACTTAAATGGATTTATCATTCAAAGAGAAATGCAGTAGGCCTATATGTTTATTAGTAGTATTTAAATGAAAGAAAGATTCCCCACAAAACTTTGGATATGTACATAAGATTGAACGTGTTTGTCTGCAGATTTTTCTCATTATAAACTTCAACACATTCAACAGATATTATCAAGAGTACTCCCTTAATAAAATTGTTGGGGGCTAATTTAAAAAGGCTATTCTCTCTAAATTACAGATCTAGGGCCTATCTCTGAGATAACTTTAACGACTGTTTTGGGTTCAAGTCACTGCACAAAAATGTCCCTCATACAGTCCACCACTCACCCACAATAGTCTTCTTTTATTGCCTATTGAGGAAACCCAGCACCAGCAGCAACAGGCACACAATAAATGACTTCACTTGGGTCTGCTGGTGCATGTCATCTTGGTGTTTATGTAATTACAAAGCAGCTACTGACCCAAGCATTATTAAAGTGTAATAACACTCATTGAAGCGCCTTTTAGGGGGTGGATGAAGCTGCAAAGTTGATTGTCGATAGTTGCGTAGACATGCAATATTTTAACAGAAATTAAATTAAACGTATTATTGTGTACATTCCATTTACAGTGTTGTGTTGTGGTGTTACTCCACAGAATGGAACAGCTGATGTGATGTCCTCGTTCAGCTGTCTGCTCCCGTGAGACGACTTTGTTCCCTAACATTAAGCATTGGCCAGTTCATGACTATTAGTGTCGTCATTATTACTGCTGAATGTGAAACTGTGAAATGATGATGAGCAGTAAAAGACCTCCATCTAGTGGTAGAAGTGGAAGATACAGTCTACCATTTTAGTAAACATCCAACATACTGTGGTGTAATTGAAGGTCATTTGACTGGAAAAAATGTTGTATTAAACGGAAAACATTTCTCTGTCCATGAGGCTACAGTCTTAAGACAGTCAAAGTGGGTGGAGCTCATCTTGTAATCAGCAGTGGGGTAAATAGTTGTGTTTCATGCAAATTCCTAGGTCCCTGAGAGAAAATGTAAGAATCTATGGTCTGAGGATTTGCTATAGGGATGTAATCAAGGAATGTTTTGAAAATCTATTGGCTGATTATTCTTTCAATTAGTCGATTCATTGTTTAGATCCTGAAAGTTCAGTGAATATACAATTTATCATACATTGGACTAAAACAAATCTCAAGTGAAGAACATCTTCATAGAGATGACTTTACACTTTGGGTAGTTTGATTTGAAATACCTTGTAAACACAATTTCATTTCATTCTGCAGTTTCAATAATCCTTTAGTTGTCTAACTGGTTTCAGCCTTATAGTGTGTCAAGGAAGAGATAGGAGCAGTTAGACAGAAATGGAAGAGGGACCGATGTTTGTACCAATGTGTGCTAGACGTTTCTTATGTAAGCATGGATAGAGCTAAAACAACGTGGTTAAAAACTCAAAGAAAGTCACTTATGCATGAAAATACGTTTAAAGTTTCTCTGTGCTTCTTTGGCCCAACCCCCCAATATGCCCATTTTGTGCACATTGGTCATGGGCTATACACATTCAGCATGTAATTCAACTTGACTTAATACAAAGTTTCCTGCCTGCTGATGTTGTAGTGAGACTCCTGTTGTAAAGGACTGCTCTGGTGAGTTGCCTTGAGCCGCCTGACTAATCAAACACTTATCAACCTCCCTCCCCCTGCCAACCCCCTCCTCACAGAACAGATTATTCTACAGTTTTATCCAGTTCACCCCTTGATAATTCAATTCTGTCATTTACTGTAGAAAGTGATAGAGTTTGTTAGAAGAACTCAACTCTTCCTGTAATAATATTATACTGCTTTCCCATTACTTATTTACTTGCATTTGTTTTATCTACTTAACTCCATCAAGCTGAAAGCATTGCAGGACCTAATTATAAGCCTCTCTCTGACATTGATGGATGCTGCACACAGTGACCTGGGTGAAGCTGCGTGGCTGAAACACTTAAAGTTGTAGTTTTACGAGACGGGATACACACCAGAGTTAATCATTATCCTCCAGGTGTCTTCCAGGGATGACAGATTTTTGAAGAATTTAAACTGGCCTGTTCCTCAATATGAATCACTTATAAACAAGCATAAGTCAGATAATTACACGATTCATCCTGGATCATCTGGATGAAAATCACAGTGGAAAGGAGAAGGTGCTGGGGGAATTATCTGATGGTTCTTTAATCAGCGTAAAATATTTGTGACTAAATGCCCCGACCTATACATGTATACAATATTTGTCCATATGATTCAGAACATGACATTTCCGTCAAGATCATAGAAAGTTGATTTAAATGTGAATAAAGTATGAATAAAGTAAACTGGAGAAAAATCTCTGTTTTGCATAATATTTGTGAGTGTGAGGTTAGATCCTAGAGAAAGTTTTGATTTTAGCCAAAAAAGATGACTCTAATGGCATATTTTTTTGCTGTGAATATTCTTTGGTGCAGAAAAGACCCAAAAAAACCACGAGCAGGCTGACATCTCCACAAACCTGACCCTAACTCCAAACCGGAGGCCTACCTGCATGGAAAGACATGCAGGTAGGTATCATTAGACATTATGGTATTAAATATATATATTTTCAACAAAGAAAGTTCCATAGAATGAGTTTAACCCATTATCTGAGTATAGCCTTGTATGAGACTGTTTCTGACCTTAAGAGAGGTCTCAGTTTGTAT